ATATATATATATACAGTATATATGCACGCACTTGACAGATCGGAAGCTTTATGTTCTGAAAGATGTACCTTACAGACCAGTTGAAAACCCATGGTGGTTTTATCTTCTCCGTCTGGAGCCTTGAAAATATCCACCATGCTGATGACTCCCAGGGTTGTATAAAGCGTAAAGGGTGAATCCTGATTATACAGACTGACATTAACACACACAACTCCCATACATTGGACTGAAGCATGGTTTAAACAGTCACATCTGATGAAAYTAAACAGATTTACCTTCTCCTCGCTGATGAAGTACAGCTTATAGTCTGTGATGGTCAATGTTCCAGTGATTGGACTGCTGAGTGGACATACGTACATAAYGTCCTTAACTACACATACAAAAAGAGAAATAAAATACATGTTTATTTTACATTTTAATTTTTAAAAATTACAGTGTTATTGCCATTTTAATCATTTAGCTGTGGCAGCAATCTTCAGTCAAGTKGTCTCAAATTAATCAGCTGTTGAAGTATATCAAGTGATTACTATAAATTACTACAGATGGATGAAGAAAACACATTTTTCTTTGGGATTTTTTAAATAGGTAAACTTGGGCCAAACAAACTGAGAGAAAATTTGAGGAGGCGGATTTTCAGTATATTTATAGAAATAAGTTAAGATGTAATACTGAACTAATTAAACAGTTTTATTTTGAAGCTCATAAATGTAAATGGGCAGTTGATCCAGAGACCCAGATTTCCCTCTCACCAGCCACGTGGGCCAGCTACTCTTGGGAAATCCCAAGGTGTTCCCAGGCAAGCTAAGAAACTGGCAGTTGATATGCTATGTAAACCAAAATTAAAAACCTATATTCAAATATTCACATTTCTTCCTGTTAGTGGGGAGTTTTTCCTCTCCACCGTTTGCTTAGGATCAGAGACTGTGATGAAGTGATTCAACACAATCTGCTGGCTTCTTCTTTAGATTGTTCTTTTTTTTATGTACAGTGCCCTGAGACAATGTATGTTGTGAGTTGGTGCTATATAAATAAACTGAATTGAATTGAATGGAAAAGGATGCTTATGGTCCTGAGCCACATGGAACCGATCTAAACAACAAAGGTCTGTCTGTGCACAATTTAGATCTGGCACTTTGCATATGGCTTTGGAGACTGGGTGATTTTGTTCAGTTCCAGAGGAGGATGTTCGTTGTGTGATTTGGGTGAAACTGAAAATGAAATGCATTTCTTGTTTTATTGTCCTTTGTATATGATCATGAGAAACGAATTATTTGATAAAGTTCTTGATATTTATCCTGATTTCTTTTATTCATGAAGATAAAGTGCAGTATTTATTAAAGTATTTTGTGTTTCAGTTAGCTCAGTTTTTTTAAAGGCCTGGCACTTCAGTGAGAGGACACTTTTTGTTTGAAGAATGTTCTATCCACCTTTAGGTATATGTTTAATGTGTCTTATAAGCCCGTGTGGGCTGGGCACCTGCTGGTGCATGACAAACAYGATAACAATATTACTACTAGAGCTGGGCGGTATGACCCAAATTTTATATCACGGTATTTTCAACAATTACACCGGTTTCACGGTATTTGACGGTATTTTTTTTCCTCACAGCTCAACAGATAATAAAATGTACAAACTTTGCTTATTGATTTTTTTTCTTTTACTGTACCTCTGTATCACTGTTTCCCTCCTCATGTACGTCTTTTCATCTTTGACTGGTTGTAGACAGTAACCATACATTTAGGTGCAATTGTGAAGGGTTGAGAAAAAAATCATTATCAGGTCTATCTTTGCRTGTTAAAAAATAATTAAAGGACGACTCATGTTGCACACCAGTCAACTCAACTCTACTACAAAACCACCACCACCCCACCCCCCGGGGCTTCTCACAATAGAAGCATGTTAAAGTCTCCATGCACTAATGTCTCTAATGTAATGCATTAAATCTAACCCTGTACGTCACTGAAGAGGTGTTTACTACATTCAGCGATGGTGAAAACGCAAWGTTTTTTTTACGTCAGACAAAAAAGCAGCTGAAACASCAGCCGCCGCCAGTTGCTCCAGCAATTACGTTAGCATGCTAATGCACTAAGCGGTGCTGTGTTTCCCCCGGGAAACAGTTCACTGGCGGCCACGACGAAATGTTACGCACATGTTCAGGCTATTTAAACCGGTATGTCCGGTATTAAGAAAATTCCTATCATAACAAAAATAAAAAACGGTTTTCGGTACAAAACGGTATACCRCCGAGCACTAATTACTACTACTACTAGATGAGAGTTTCAGTAAAAATCATCCAGTGCTTCATCAGATACCTTGCTAACAAATAACTGAGTTAAACAATTAATGGAAATGTTTTGAACAAATATCTTGCAGGAGATGTTGGTGTTCGCAGTATTTGTTTGCAATGACTCTCCGCTACTTCCAAAGTTTAGTTCAGGGAAGGGCAATGGTGGTCTGCAGGCCATATGTGGTCCATGAGTGACTTCTGTCCACCCACCACCCCCAAAAAATATTTTTTTAATTTACTTCATCATCCTTATATCATCACCTTATCATGGTGGAGGAGTTTGTGCACATGAATTATCTTAGGAGCTATGCTGTCAATTTCAGTTGCCCCTGGTATGGTCTCCCATGGCAGGCCAGACAAAGAATGGTTTGACAGACTCTTACGGACAAAACAGATCAAGGAACTTGGTGTCCCGTGGGTTACCAGGGCCCCACCCTGGAGCCAGACCTTGGGGAGGGGCTCATCGCCGAGCACCTGGTGGCCGGGTCTCTACCCATGGGACCTGGCCAGGCTCAGCCCGAATGAACTACATGGGTTTGACTTCCTGTGGGCCCACCACCTGCAGGAGGGGCCATACATGTCAGGTGCATGATGACATGGGCTGGAGCCAAAGATAGGGTAAGAAGTTCAGTTATCCGGGAGAAACTCAGAATAGAGCCGCTGCTCCTCCACATAGAGAGGAGCCAGTTGATGCCTCCTGGACACCTCCCCAGGGAGGTGCTTCAGGCATGTCCAACTGGGAGGAGACCCAGAGGAAGACCTAGGACATGTTGGAAAGACTGTCTCTTGGCTGGCCCGGGAAAGCCTTGGAGTCCTTACAGAAGAGCTGGAAGAGGTGGCTGGGGAAAGAGAGGTCTGGGCTTCCCTGCTCAAGCTGCTGCTCCCGCGACCCRACTTTGGATAAAGTGAAGATGATGGATGGATAAAAAACAAACAAACATGAGGGGTTCAGTTGGTAGAGCTGATGCCTCTCAGCAGATCAGATCAAATCTTGGCCAGGGACCTTTCTGGGTAGAGTTTGCATGTTCTCTCCGTGCATGCATGGGTTTTCTCCAGGTACCCCAGTTTCCTCCCACAGACCAAAAACATGACTGTTAGGTTAACTGATAACTCTAAATTGTCCCTAGGTGTGAGTGAGAGAGTGAATGGTCTGTCTTGTTTATCTTTATGTGGTCCTGTGATGGACTGGAGACCTGCCTATGGTGTACCCCGCCCTTCAAATAGTAACTGCTGATTATGTGCACTAGTGACCCTGAAAGGAAGAAACAGGTAAAAGATGTTGGATGGATAGATAGACTTAAGAAACAGAATTTAGAATCTAAGAGCTGCTTTAATAGGGCTTTTTTTTAAGTCAAAAATTGTTTTGTTTTTGTTTTGGGAGGTAGACAATGTTTTTACAGAAATTCAAAGCAAACCTATGTTTAGTGAGACACTGTCTACCATGAAAAATTTTAAAAGAAGTTGCCACTCCAACACACTGCACAAATCTAAAAATAAGAAGCAAACTGAAGTTGCAAGTACATAAACAGCAACTTTTCTTCCAAAACCAAAAACACACACACTAAAGCTTGCGAAAGTAAGTCTTTAAGTTTTGTTTGCTTCTATGTTTTGTATTCATATTTCTTAAACAAGAGTACAACTATTATACATACATGAAGCATGAAATCAGTGTTGCATAAAATACCCCAAAGTGGTACTTGAGTAAAAGTATCTTACCAAAAAATTACTTTGGTAAAAGTTAAAGTTACCTYAAGGAATATTACTTGAGTAAAAGTATCAAAGTATCTGATATTTTTGTGCTTAAGTATTAAAAGTAAAAGTATTGATTTAAAATGAGCAGTTAGATTTTCTGTAATGACATTTATTAGGAGGTGACCTCCCCAAAAACTGCAGAAATGATTGTCATATTAAAATAATGTTTAATTTATGTTAAATTTAGTATGCACTGTAAAATATGAGCAATATTCAAAGGATGTTATTTTGTTTATATAAAATGTGTTTGTATAGTGGTGCTCAATAAAAAGTATATTAAAATAAATTTAGGATGCACTAGTCTAGCTGTTTCAGTTTATATACAAATATCAAGGCTGCCCAAACCCTTTCCCCAAAATGAAAATCTGAGGGCTGCGGCCAAATGCAATAATATAATTCATAAAATACAAATACTTTAAGTACAGTCTTTTTATTTTAATGATTATATCCTGCTGGAGTGTGACATGATTTGTTTGTTGTCAGGACCAACAAAATAACCCAGGGCACGGGCAGGTTTCAAAAATCAAAGAGCACGATGAAAACTCAAAGAGGCTGATAATGCAGCAAAAACTCACTTGACTTGGAGGTAGAGGAAGAACATGAAGCAGGACACAACCAGGTAGACTGAACAATGATCCAACAATGAGACAGAGACAAGACTGAGCTTAAATACACAGAAACCTAATGAGGGAACAGAAAACACCTGGGGAGAAACACAAGGGTAATCAGCAGCGTGACGTGGGGCAGCTGAGCTGAGACACACAGGGGAACATAGAAACACTAGGAAAAACCAAGGCATAAAATGACAAACCATGACAGTACCTCCCTTTTAACGATCGTCACCAGACGATCAACAAGGAGAGGCACAGAACAAGGGGCGACGTGACAAGACAGAACTCAAAGACAAAACATGAAAGTTCAAGGGGACGGCCAGGGAACCACCCCACATAAGGCAAGAGTCCAGGAGGACGGCCAGGAAACCCTCCATGGCGAGGCCCCGCAGGAGCAGATGTTGAGCCCCAGGAGGAGACATGAGCAGACGAGGGGCCAGGGGAGGAGACGTGAGCAGACGAGGGGCCAGGGGAGGAGACGTGAGCAGACGAGGGGCCAGGGGAGGAGATGGGAGCAGACAAGGGGCCAGGGGAGGAGAAGGGAGCAGACGAGCGGCCAAGGGAGGAGACCGGAGCAGACGAGCGGCCAAGGGAGGAGACGGGAGCAGACGAGCGGCCAAGGGAGGAGACGGGAGCAGACGAGCGGCCAAGGGAGGAGATGGGAGCAGACGAGCGGCCAAGGGAGGAGACGGGAGCAGACGAGCGGCCAAGGGAGGAGACTGGAGCAGACGAGCGGCCAAGGGAGGAGACGGGAGCAGGCGTGGAGCCAAGGGAGGAGACGTTAGCAGGCGTGGAGCCAAGGGAGAAGGCGGGAGCAGGCATGGAGCCAAGGGAGAAGGCGGGAGCAGGCGTGGAGCCAAGGGAGAAGGCGGGAGCAGGCGTGGAGCCAAGGGAGGAGACAGGAGGTGATGAGGAGCCGTCGGAGGTTGATGGAGCCAGAGCCTTGGCGACGGCGAACACAGGTGACACAGGGGACAAAGAGGCGACAACTGACGACCCAGGCGACATGGAGGCGACGGCAGTCGACTCACAAACCTCAGAGACTGCCAAATCAGGGCTCGCCAACACCGGAGACATAGGGACCACCAACTGTGGAACCATCGACTGTGGATCCACCAAGATCTGCAACTGTGGAACCACCGACTGTGGAACTACCGGGACCTCCAATTGTGGAACCATTGGGACCGGAACCACCAGCTCAGGAACCACCAGAACAGGAACCACTGGCTCAGAAACCACCAGCTCAGGAACCACTGGCTCAGAAACCACCAGCTCAGGAACCACCAGAACTGGAACCCCAACAACCGGCGCAGGAGGAGCAGAAGGGGCAGGAGGGTGGGTAACAGATGACTCTCCCAAAACCCTCTGCACAAACCGGTGGAGCAGCTGATGGCCTGGCAGGAGGAGCAGATCTGGGCACTCCCCAAGAACGCATTCTATCTGCCGGCAGATGGAGAGTCTGATGGAGCACATTGAGATCCCCCTGAGGATCTTCACCGACGCTCCAATGAGGGATGTCACCTGTTCCTCCCAGGGGGCAAGGACGGGACCGGCTCCTCAAGGGCAGAAGGAGGAAGACCAGCCGAGGCAGGCCCAGGTGACGCTGGTGGACTCCAACAGAGAGAGGAGGAAGATCGGTGCGCCGAGGGGTGTCCTTGCTCCTCTTTAAAAAAAACAAAAAACAAAATCGGGGTGCCTGAGGGCTGGGTGCGTGGTCGGATCATTATGTCAGGACCAACAAAATAACCCAGGGCACAGGCAGGTTTCAAAAATCAAAAAGCACGAGGCCTTTTAATGAAAACTCAAAGAGGCTGATAATACAGCAAAAACTCACTTGACTTGGAGGTAGACGAAGAACATGAAGCAGGACACAACCAGGTAGACAGAACAATGATCCGACAATGAGACAGAGACAAGACTGAGCTTAAATACACAGAAACCTAATGAGGGAACAGAAAACAGAAACACAAGGGTAACCAGCAGCGTGACGTGGGGCAGCTGAGCTGAGGCACACAGGGGAACATAGAAACACTAGGAAAAACCAAGGCATAAAATGACAAACCATGACATTTGTGTACATACTAATATGGTATCAGAATTTTATACGTATATTTATACTTCTCATTCAACCACAGTTAAACTCACTCTATCTAGGAGGCATAATTAATATGGATAGTATTTATTTTTTACAATAAGCTGGAATGAAAACAAGCAAAAATTAAATAAAACTGACTCAACTTCTTGTCTTTTTTAAAAATGTAAGGAGTAGAAGTAAAAAGTAGGCTGAAAAATAGTTGCTTAAGTAAAGTGCAGATACCCAAAACTTCTACTTAAGTACAGTAATAAAGAATTCGTACTTAATTACTTACAACTCTGATTGAAATATTTGAAGTTACTGCATGGTATGTTGGTTTAATAAACATTTACCAAATGTAATAAAACTCCCATTTTAAAAATGTTTAAGTGTGCAACAACATGTAGTATTCCTCTGGTAGTGTCAACAAAAACATGTGGCACRTTTCATGATTTAAGTTGACCATCCCTAGTTTAGTTTAATACTATTAGAGTTGACAGAGTACGGTAATTTTATTGTTTACTAAGGTCAATTGGCCATACTAGCCATCATTTACGGGCGTGAATTCAAAAGTTATACAGTTAATACTAGATATCCATCCATGGACATTCAAAGATTTTTTTCTGAGGGTAAAAAAATGTCTTGTGCTTCTTTAGATACATTGCTTAAAAAAACTGGTGAAAATCATTGTCACCCATCTTTCACCTATAAGCTGTGGGTGATAAAGGTTAAAGAAAATGATTTTTCCATCCATCCATCCATCCATCCATCCATCCATCCATCCATCCATCCATCCATCCATCCATCCATCCATCCATCCATCCATCCATCCATCCATCCATCCATCCATCCATCCATCTTACTTTCAGGGTCACGGGGATCACTGGTGCCCATATCCAGCAGTCACAGTATGAGGGGCGGGGTGCACCCTGGACAGGTCTCCAGTCCATCACAGGGCCACACACAGAGACAAATGAGACAAACAACCATTCACTCTCTCACTCACACCTAGGGACAATTTAGAGTTATCAATTAACCTAACAGTCATGTTTTTGGTCTGTGGGAGGAAGCCGGAGTACCCAGAGAGAACCCACRCATGCACAGAGAGAACATGCAAACTCTACCCAGAAAGGTCCCTGGAATTTGAGGCATCAGCTCTACCAACTGAGCCACCATGGCACCACTTGACTTTTTCATGTGAGCTGAAAAAAAAGCATAATGCTGTAGGTTTGACAGACAGAAAATGCAGACAGTACCTTTAATCTGGATGGTTTCTCCTGGAAGAAGAGGTACTTTGTTCTGTAAAACCTTTATCCCAGCCCCATATCCCAGAACCTGAAGGCTCTGCAGAGAACACAGAGCAGCTGGTCGGATCCAAATAATCAACATGACCAACTTCCTATTTTGAACCATGAAATTCATTTTAAGAATCGGGGCATCAAATACAAAAGGTACACACACAAATACACTATTTTTTGCCACACAAAACTTAAGGTATTAAGTATTAAGGATTAATAAGGGTTGTGGAAATTTGCTCAACCTCATGCCAGTTTCATAAATGGGAAATGGACAGTGCTTATATAGCACCTTTCTATTCAATCAGGATACTCAAAGTGCTTTGCACTACAACCTATGTCCTCTTTATCCATTCACACAGCACTTTATTATTTTTCTACAAAACTAACATGTACAAATCAATCTATACAGACAGTGATTCATACACTGATGGGACACATATCAGAGGCAGTGTGGGTTCAGTGTTAGCCACAGCCGACCAGTAATCATAATAAATAATATTCATAGATGATATATGCATATTGGTCTGTTGGTATATTTAGAGGGCATACCAATAAACTGTTACTGATGTCAAAATAATTATTGAACATGTCTGCGAGGTTAATATGACAAAAGGTTTTTTGCTTCCCCAGCAATGTTGAGCTGAATGTCAGAATGTTCAGTGTTGAAGGATCTGTTTGAGTRAAAGTGACAAATAAGTTCTGTTAACAAGGTTTATTTGTTTGCAAATGGAGTTTTCACTGAGGGAGTTGTTTTAATATCCATGTTTTTATTAGAAACCAGTGAAGTAATGAAAAAAGATTAAAAAGGAGGACATAAATGATGAATATTTTTTAATCATATAGACCATGTATTTTTTCATAAATAAGACTGTGAAAAGTAATTTCTATAGGGATTTATTGACATAAAACAATCTGAAAAACATGGCAACTCATTTATTTTCTCTTTCTAACACTTTTTTTCTAAAAAAAAAGGTGTAAGAAAAGGTATTTAATTTTGGCCTTTTGTGAAAAATGCCTTGACTCTCCTCAGCCCAAAGCTATGTTAGACCGTCACATGTAGCTGAAGCACTGATCTAAGATCTGAAAATGTTCATGTGAAATCTTTTGCTCTGCCTCCTTTAGARGAGAGTGGTGTGTGTAATAAATGAAGCCTTGTGGTGCTGTAGCTTTAAAAGGAGAGGCTGTCTGAACTGGAAGCTCGGCACAGAACTGTTGAAAAGCCAATTTGCTAACCAGGGCCCACTAGGCAGCACAGAGTTGGGAGGGGCTGTGTTATTGCGAGAATCTGCAAAAGTTTGATTTTAGTTGTTGTTCTTGTGTGATGGATGTGATGGAATAATTATATAACTCTCTGCTTGTACCTTGACATTGTCAATATTGTATCTTATTTGATAACTGGTTCGGTTGTTTTAATCTGTTTGTCCTAGACTTCAAGACTCCAGCAATGTGTGACCTCTCTTATTTTGATAATGTACTTCCTGAACTGGAGCCCTGTCATTGGTTTAGATGTTTACAGTTGTCGGACTGTGATTGGTTGTAAGCGTGCACCGGMTGTTATATCAGTGGCTCCTGCTCACTGACGAGCCGAGCTACAGCTTGACAGACTTCCTTGATCGACTCTGTTTGTTGTTGCTCCATTAAATTCATTGTGAYGGCCATACACACAGACTTTTTGCTTTTTTCTACGTGTTTCTGCATTTTTAATAAACGCTGCCACAACAATGGAGGAAAATGGCGGTTTAATAAAATTACAAATCCCGGCAGGCTGGGTGACAGTCTGGGGTAAGCATAGTACTACGGCTATGGCCAAGCCTCTAGTTAATTGAACGATAATTATCGTACACCTGGCAACACTGTAGCCAGCAAATGAGTGACATCATTTGGTCACATGACAAGAATATCTTTCGTTTAATGCAAAATAATTACTTTAATCCAAACAGTAATTTCAGTTTACTCCAAAATGTGCATTATTTGCTTTGAAGCAAACTGGAAAAAAAACAAAAAAAAACAATTTAAAATAAATAAACCATAATTTTCAATTAGTTTGATTTAAAATAGTACTTTAAATAAATGAGACAGTGGTTGCACTTTTTTCAGTGTAGTTTACACACGATAGATTAAACCTTGTGTGGGTTGAACTGTAGAGTATTTATTTTAGAACATGACTTACCCTGGAGTTCAGTCTCTTGGATACCTACAGGTTTAAAACATAACAAAACACATCATTAAACCTAAATTTTGATGAAGGAAAGGATAAAATAAAATCATCTTTATTTTATGGAGCATAAAATGTCCAAAAGGAGTGGGTGTGTGTACTTGTTTTGACTACACAGTGAGGACCATTTGTGCCATAGTTACTGTATTAGCAAAGTGAGGTATTTGATGTAATGTGAGGACCGCTTCAATTCTGTCCCTTTATTTTCTGCTCTGCTGTGCTTTACCAGTTAGGTTTAGAGGTATGGTGCAGATTAAGTTTTGGTTCAGTTTAGGGTTCTTCTTCAGGCCAACATTGCCAAAATACAATTCAAAAATCCACTGGCAAGTCAGGAAAATTTCTGCTCATCTGGATTTTATTCTTGTTCTTCACAGGGGAAAAACACTTGTCTTCATTACAAGTCTTTTGAAAAACCCCAACCAACACATTTTACTCTAGATCCCTCAGTCATTTTCTRCCCAGCCTCCTCAGTGATGGGTAACAACTCTACTCTGTAGCCCCTCCCATCAGGCACGTCATTTCCTTATTTTTTACCCAATAAACAGCTTTACATTTCTTATTAACAAAATGCATTGGTTTCAACATAAAATAAATACAAAGTTAATATTTCAGCTTTRCTTTCTCTCAATCATTAACAAACCAAAAGAAAAAAGATAAGACAAATACCCAAAATCAATTAACAAAATCACATGATCATAGCATAAAATGAAAACATCCCACCTGCTTCTACCTATGCAATTAGAGAAGCAACTGACCGATATAGCAACAACGTTGATAAGTTGCAGTGTGTTTAAAATGTATGTTTTTTCCTGAACTGAACCCCCAAGTGTGCACCTCTGGTTGTTCTAAGCTGATAAGGGAACATGTATGATAATGACTTTACTGACCAATTGCAAACTAACTGAAAGGAGAATTTGAGGATGACATGACCATGTGTAAACTACAGTATATGTGTGTAGGAACTGCGATCTAACTCAAAGTCTACTGAAAAGTGTGAAGGGGCAGGGATGCTCCATCACATGGCTATAATGGTACATTAGCAGTAAGGGGTAATTTTAGGGGAAATGTTTGGGTTAGGCATAAATACAGTTACAAAAATAAATGGAAGTCAATACGATGTCCCCAGTTTGATACAAATACAAGGATGTGTGTGTGTGTGCGTGTGTGTGTGTGTGTGTGCGTGTGTGTGTGTGTGTGTGC